GGAAGGCCTGGCGCAATATGGATCATGGGGTCACGAAGAGTCGGACACGACTTAACGACTAAACAACAACAACATATCTAGTGATCTTTCATTAGTATGCTGTAACACTCACCTAGGCAGAGTTGATGCACAATTTGGGGGGACTTTCAGCTTCTGCTTGAGTAGGTGGCAGCTGTGGCCAGGGGGGCCTTTATACAATTGCGTCTTGTATGCTAGTTATGCCCATTCCTACCTATGGAGGCACTGCTCATGACCATTCATGCCTTAGCCAATTCCTGATTGGACCACTGCAAAGCGCTCTACGCAGAACTGCCCTTTAATAGCATTCAGACGCTCCAGCTGGTCCAGAATACAGTGGCATGTGCAGCATTGGTGCTCCAGAGTATACCCACAAACCACCACTGCTGTGTGAGTTGCACTAGCTCCCAGCAGGATTCTGCATGCAATTCAAGATGCTTGCTGTCGCCTGTAAAGCCTGACATGGCCCTGGATCAGGGTATTTGCAGGACTCTCTCTCCCTAATGGTTTCTGCCCATCTCACCAGATCAGGCAGGGTGGGCATGCTCGGGGCCTCACAGGTGAAACATGGTCACTTGGTCAGCCCTAGGGAATGTGCCTTCTCTGTCATGGTGTTTGTGTTGTGGAATAGTCTGCCCCCTGAGATATGGACAGCCCTACCCTGTTGGCCTTCCAGAAAGCCATGAAGACATATTACTCCAGGCACTGGGGACAGGATTTTAATTGGGGGGAGGTATCCGACAGATTGATACTGAGTTTTTCTCAGGGGCCTTGACTTAGGCTCAATTGTTTGTAAACATGGATTTTTAAAAATCTCTGTTCATTCCCCAAAGTTCCTTTGGTAGATAGGCAGCTATAGGAATTTGTTAAATAAATAAATTAAACAGGTGCCATTCTAATTGCCACTTGTTTTAATCCATACCAGTTTTGAAAGTTTGACTCTCACTTCAAACAGAGGAAACGGTAAAGAAATTACAAAGTTTCTAATTCACAGCCATTCACAATTCAGGGAAGCAATATGCAGTTTGGAATATATAAAAGGAGGTTACAGCAATGAAGTCCATTGTGGCTTATCTCATATCAAACAGAGACAGGACAAAGAAGATAGAAACAAATTCAGAGGCTCAACTAATACTGATAAATGTACAGAATACAAGATGGAGTACATTATAAAGTCATAGAAGGGTCTACTTTGCCTCCACTGTTAAAAAAATTCCTAGAACTCCTGATCAAGAGGCAAAGCTCTAAAACTGTCAGACATTTTTTTTGTGCTTTCTGTCATTTATTTATGCAAATTTATAAAGTTATTTGAATTTCACAAAAACTGAAACCCCAATTATGGTTCCATTAAGTTCCTCCATTTACCCCAAGTATAAAAAATAAACTATTATAAATGCAAAATTAACATTTCTAGTATACAAAAATTTAAACTTGAACTTCACAATTACTTGGGAGTTTAATGTTTTAACCACACAAAACAATGTTCAATGACTGGGATGTGATTGCTTTTCCTTAGAAAAATTGCTTTGAATACCACTGGCTGTGTTGAACTGAACTTCATTTTGTCTGGTCTTAGTCGCTCATGAACTCTGTCAAGTTGTCATGAAGTCTGGGCTTCCGTGGAATTCAGTCTGAGAAACTCTGCTCTAGAAGCAATATAAATCTCTCCCATTTTCAGTATGGCAAGCTGTATTAAACTGTGCTACATAGAATTCCTCCTTTTAGCAAGGGAAAATATACAGGAGAGAGAGAGAAGTAAGGCAGCCAAGGCTTGGTAACAGAACGTTTGGTGGGAATATCCTGGATGAATGATTTGTTCTCCATTGATCTGGCTGTAATCACTGGTGTATATTCATTTCTCTTAATGTTATAAGGTAATTTCTTACACTTACAATCATTAGAAGTAAACAAACAATAGTGACTGCAATGCCCAAGATAAAGGCAACAATATTCAGGCATCTGGCTTTCTTCCCATAGGCAGCTGCACTTCCAGGATCTCCAACAACTTTACGATCCCTTGACTGAAAAGGATAAAACATTAAAAAGAAAATTAATTAAACTTTAAGACATAATTATACCAGTTAAACCTCAAATTATCTATTTATGACCACTGTGACAATCACTGCTATCATCAGTCAAAGTTCCTGCCTCTCATATCTTTGTTCATATTTTAGCCTTGGGTTCCTTGAGACCTGCCAATCAGTCTAAAACAGTATCTGTCCATTTTATTTTTGTTTCTTTTTTATTTCTGTTTTCAGAAATAATTATGGTTCTTTATTTTGCTTGGCTTTAATATGTTTATAACTTTATATTGTATGACTGTAAAGTGTTGGGAGTGTCGTGTATTAATATCATAAATCAATAACCCACTCTTTCTGAAGTCAGATGATGGAGACAGAATGGGATCAAATTCTTCTCAATTTGAGAAGCCCAGAAACATTTGGAAGACTGCCCTTCCAAAAGTACAACTCTTTGCCTTTAAGGGGGGCTTCATTTAAAACAAGTCCCCCCCCCCCCCAATCTTCTGAATCTGCACTTCATTAGCAGGCTCAAGGCTGGTTTCTTCATGTATTCTTGCCTGTCACACATAAAGCTACAGTTAGAAAGAGAGATTACTAAAGCAAAAGTCTCACAAATAAATAACGGCAAATCTTTGAATTCCCCTATACTTTTCTCCTCACACACCAAGAAAAATGTCCTATGCTGTAAAAACTACCAACACTTAGCTCCCTATCATGCATCAGTGTAAAGGAGAACTATAGTCCCTTAAACGGCGGTTAAGCGTTAAGCTAGGGTTGGCAGCTTTTCCATGAAAAGTCACGCTAGTGCAATACTGTACGTAGAAATTCAGCCAGTGAGGTTCATCCGGCAAAAAGTAGCGCCTGGAATTTCCGTTTAATTGATATGTTGAGAGAAGCCTGAAAGACCCGCGGACTGCAGGGAGGGAGGGAGGGAGGGAGCCAAAAAGAGAAAGAAAAGCAAGTGAAACCTCGCTGCTCTAAATATTAAACGGAGGCAAACTTTCCCGAAAGAAATGCTATGCCACGGAGAAAATTACTCCATGGAAAAAGCTCCGGCGCCTAACTAGTTTCTCCGTCCGTGCTGGGCTCGCTCACCTTGATGGAGAAGACGAGGGCGGCGAAACTGAGGCAGCAGAAGCAGTAGAAGCTTAAGAAAAAAAGGTTGAACAACGACCAGAGGACATAGTCCTTGGGCTGCTCCTCGGCGAGTCTCCTCGCGTCAGGATGGAGGGCAGCAGGGCCGCTCCGCTCCGTGTCGGCGCCGTCGTAGTAAGGCTGCAGGTCGAGGCAAACGGCGTCAGACGACATGACTCCCGGGTCAAAAAACTCCGCGTAGCGTCCCAGGGGCAGAGCCGGGTTACGCCGCCAAGTTAAGGAAACGGGGCGCGGCTGGTCCAGAGACGCGCTCTGGAGAGGAAATGAAACCAGCCCCTAACAAATGGAGAAGCAAAAGTGGGAGGCCCCGGAGCAGCTTCACTTTCGCTCTGAGGGACGATACAGTCGTCGTGTTTCAGCGAATAGCTTGTTAGCTGCGTGAGTTTCGAAACAGCGCAGGCTTGTTGTTGTTGTTCAGTCGTTAAGTCATATCCGACTCTTCGTGACCGCATGAACCATATCGCGCCAGGCCTTCCTGCCCTTCACTGCCTCCCTGAGTGATGCTATCTAACCATCTCATCCTCTGCCGTCCCCTTCTCCTTTTGCCTTCAATCTTT